TTGTCATAATTTTGACCTATCTTCTAATTATGACTTAGTATTTCATTGTTTTTACTTTTTTTATCTCATAATCGTGACTTAGTATTTAATTATTTTGGCTTTTAATCTAATAATAATGACATTTCACGTCATAATTTCAACTTTTTCACCTCATAATTATGATTTAGTATGTCAAAATTCAGACTTTTTATCTCATAAATATGACTTGGTATGGCATAATTTTTACTTTTATATCATATTTCTATCAGTATTTTCTTATTTTGATTTTATCTCATAATTATGACTTAGTATGTCAGTTTAGACTTTTTCTGATAATTATGACTTTTTAATCTCACAATTTCGACTTTGTATGTCATAAATCTGAAATTGTATATATATTTTTTTATCTCATTATTAAGATTGAACAATGCATGATTTGTCTCTTATTTGGAGGAAAGGGACTTCCATGGGGTCCTGAGTGTTATATGAGGAAATTAAGATATAAAGGTCATTGAGTGTGAACATATTTTTCATTACTATCATGATCTAGAAATACATAACATTTTACATTGTTCTTTAGAATATTTGATTCTGAATGCTCAATTGGGGCATTACACAGCCAGATATTTTTATGATACTAAACTGTATAATTGACTGTGTGATTTCTGTTGAAAGATTTCCTTTGTCTTTTAAATCATACTTTCTTTCTTCTCACATAATAAAATAATTCCAGCTCAGAGGAAACAATTGTGCTCAACTGAAAGCTCAAGAGCATCCAGATACCTGCATTGAACCTTGAATGCAGTTCTTTTATGAGATTGTTTTGCTAAAAGGCAATTGCTGACAGCCTCATAATTATTGCAACGATCAAACTATCGTGCTATTGAAAGACATGTGAAGACAACACCCAGATCAACCCATCAAAACACTGACTGACGTGAGCGCTGGAACATTTCAGGGAACAGGTGCTGGGAGACATTTGAGTTGTTCAGGTGGAAACATACAGGCCTGGCATGTGGAGAGACAGCCAGAGTGCGCTTGACACGGGAGGACGGCCAAACCTCACACAGATTTCCTAAAAATTCCCTCTCTGCAGTCAGCTGCCATTTTGCCCGTTGGTCAGCAGATGTGTCCGTCACAAATGCTGCTCTGAATAGGATGGGAAGAGGATTTTGTGTGAGGTTCATCTTAGTGACAACAGCTGAATGTGGCAAGGGCCGTGTGATTGGCTGAGTCACGTCACATGACTGAGTTACATAAAATGTACATGAATCTGTCCTACATTCTGATGTAAACAAACTTCTCTCCCTCATTTAGATTTATGCATTTAGCATCCAAAACTACTTACAATGCATTTATATGGTTTACATTCAGAAAAAAAATGATAAAAATCCAAGACAAAAAGCACCACCACTAAAAATAAAAATAATACTAAAATTAAAATTATTATAAATATCAGTTTTTAAAACAATATAACAAATTTTAACATGTTTTTAATGTGTTTTAGTATTGTATTGTTTTTTTAATCAAATTAATCAGTATTAATATCAATATTGTAATAAATGTAAAATGTCACAATTTTTACTAAAACGTTTTAATGTGTTTATTATGAAAAGTTTCTAAATTCATCCCAGCTGACACAAATAATACTAAATTAAAATTAATATCAGTATTCATATAATATCAATATTATAATAAAATTAAAATGTCTAAACTTGTATTAAAAACATTTTAGCATGCTGACTTTGAAAAGTTGTTAAAATCATCCCTGCCGCCACAATAAATAAATAAATAAATAAAATTAATATCAATATGAATTTCAACATCAATATCAATATTATTTTAAAATGAATGTTTAATTTGCTAAATTCCTCCTATTGCTGTCACAAAAATACTACAATGAAAATTAATATTAATATCAACTTCAATATTATTCTAAAATTAAAATGATTATTAGCCAAATAATAAATAAATAAATATATGAATAAATAAATTTAATATCAATATTAATATGAATTTCAACATCAATATCAATATTATTTTTAAAATTAATGTTTAATTTGCTAAATTCATCCTATCGCTGTCACAAAAACACTACAATGAAAATTAATATTAATATCAACATCAATATTATTCTAAAATGAAAATGATAATTAGCTAGATAATAAATAAATAAATATATGAACAATAAATAAATAAATAAATGAAAATTTATAGCAATATCAGTATTCATATTAATATCAATATTATAATAAACACAACTTTTATTAGGAAAAAAAGTTTAGTGTTTTAACTTTGAGAAGTCGTTACATTCATCCCTGCTGAAAACAAAACACTAAAAACACTGAAATGTAATATTAATATTTCATTTGTATAGCATGACACTTAAGAGGGTGAATTTTGCAAATTTTGCAGCTTTCATTAAAAAAAGTTTCAGTGTGTTGACTTGAGCATGTTGTCTCTTTTTGTTTGTTTTATTGGCAGATACAAACCTCAGTAAATGCTTTCTTTTATATTTATTCTCTCTCATCCATCGTTTCTGTGTAGGAAAGAGAACATTTTAGCATGTTGTCGTATATGTCACAGGATCTGTTATGTAATGTGTGTGTGGTGTCACATTCTTTCTACACACCTCGATGAACTCAAGGGGCCAGTTTAGTTGCAGTTCGGTGCCACATGATATTTTGGTAACTTATTCTGTGCACATGTGTCCCAGGGTCCCGTTTCAACAGGATACATCTATAGTTGTGCCAGATATGTAAGAATGAATATGTGTTTGTGTTCCTCAGGACACACAGCGCTGCCAGCTCATCTCACTGGAGGCCTTCGAGTAAGAAGTGAGCTCAAACATGCAGGAAAACCTGCCGAGTTACTGCGCCGCAGCCAGTTTGAACCAGTTACCATGAGCGGCACAGTTCACAACGCTGGAAGTTCAGAAATGTTTCTTCGGGAAGGTTTGGCAGCAGTACTAAGTGTCAAAATGAGTCGAGCTCATGTGCTTTAACTGGTGCTAACAACTGCAAGGTCATGGGTTTGATTGCTAGGTAATAAAATATACACATCAAACACATACCCTGAATGTACTGTCTGTGGATAAACACATATGCCAACAATGTAAAAGTAAAATGCACTATTCTAATAAGTACAAGTGCACTACTGTACTAAAAAGAACATTTTATTCAGCAAGGATGCATTAAATTGTTTAAAAGTGAGAGTAAATACATTTATACTGTTACAAAAGATTCTGTTTCAAATAAATTTTTTATTCATCTAATCCTGAAAAATACAATGCATCACGGTTTCCATTAAAATATTGGGCAGCACAACTGTTTTCAACATTGATAATAATCAGAAATGTTTCTTGAGCAGCAAATCAGCATATTAGAGTGATTTCTGAAGATCATGTGACACTGAAGACTGGAGTAATGATGCTGAAAATTCAGCTGCGCATCACAGGAATAAATTGCGTTTTACAATACATTAAAATAGAAAGCAGTTATTTCACATTGTAATACTATTTCAGAATGTGACTGGTTTTACTTTATTTTTATTCAAATAAATGCAGGCTTGGTGAGCATAAGAGCCAAAATAAGTTGAACTATATATATATGCCAGTGCATTCAGGATATGATATACATATTATTGTATATTATAAGTTGCACACATTCAAAGTACATTTGACCACTAGCATTGTTCTTCATTGTCATTGCTCTGAAAATACATTCATCTCGCTTAAAGAAAAGAAAGATTGTCTTTAAGTTCTGTAAAATTCTTTAAGGAGGAACTGGGATCACCGTGTTCCTCAGGCAGGACAAAGACGGCTCAAAGTTCTTGTATAGGTTGAGGGGGAGGGGACTTATTTAGGGTATGTTGGTACATGCCTCAGTCAGGACGACCACCGAGCTTCAGATAACCATACGTTACATAACGTCAGAGGTCAAATTATGTAACAGAGGAGCTCTGATTTATGGAATCTCTGTCTAGTAAACAGCAGGTTTGGTTATGCAGATTCAGAAAGTCATGCTATCTATGCTCTTTTTTCAAATATTTATTTATTTATTATTATCTATCTATCTATCTATCTATCTATCTATCTATCTATCTATCTATCTATATATCTGTCTGTGTCTGTCTGTCTTTCTATCTATCTATCTATCTATCTATCTATCTGTCTGTCTGTCTGTCTGTCTATCTAATCTATCTGCCTATCTATCTATCTATCTATCTATCTATCTATCTATCTATGTAATTGGCTTCCATAAAAAGATGACAGTCACAATATAATTTTTTTTAAATGCATAAACAGCATCAGAAATATGATTCATCAGTCACTGTACACACAGCCTTTGACATCAACAACAAAAGAGTGTTTTCTCCTCCCTTTTTAAAAATCGACGCACCTATTTTTTCCTATCCCAAAAATGATATGCTTTGTTGCATTTAATTGTTTGTATTTGCAAAGATTTTTCCCTGCTCACATGTCAGAACACAGACATTTTTGCCAGTTGACCACTCTGTAAAAAATGATGCATTTTTAACAGTAAATACTGTAAAAATGCTATCATACTTTCACTTACTCAATACGGTGAATAACTGTAATCGATCTAATGTAACATTTCATTTAAAATACTGTTAAAAACTTCTTGTGATGAACTTGATCATGTGACTCTCTTTATCACCTGTGTTTTCATAGTTAAAGGCATTTTCAGGAAATTTTCATTTGAACTTTTCCTTGAACTTGTTTTTCCAGTGTAAAAATCTCTGCAGTCATTTTGAAACTCATGCAAATGTCTTGTGGGTCTTTCTGCAAATTCTTTTAATGTAACTTACATTTATTTATAAATTTAAATGTATATATTATCTAAATAATACTTCTTTTTTAATTTTTAAAATATGAATGTCACTGCTCTGTAATGCAACTCAAAAAATACAAATTGCAGTTGTCACTCATAATGTCAGTTGGGTTTGTACAACATAAAAATATCAAAGGGACTTTTATGACAAATAAGTTCTTCCTCAGGTTAAAGGTCATGCATGGAGAGAGTTACCACCAAACAGTGAGTTTCTTTACATTTACATTCATGCAACTTATTGCATTCAAAGTGTATGTTCATATCGTACATTTGCTGGGAATTGAACCCATTGCTGGTGCTTTTTTTTTTTTTTTTGAATTGACATATGTTTTTGTTTTTTGTTCGTTTTTGCATGCATGATTGCATGATTATTTGGTTTTTTGCATTTCATTATTTGCTGTATGCTCTAGTGTTTAAGTTTGAGTTCAGCTATAGTTTGTCTATTAACTGCTTTTGTAAAAAATATCAGAATTACTGAAGGCATTTTTTAATTAGTTATGATGGATTGTTTATCTTTGAAAATTTAGAAAATGCTGAAATCAAGTAATATTTAGTGATATTAAGATAAATGGAAGCATTTCGCAACACCTTTTATCTTGAAAATCAACCGTGCAGTTCATCAGCGGTGTTATTCACTCATATTTACTTGTGCTGTGCTAGATATCCTTTACCTATTTTGCTGTTATGGTCTTTCCATAAATTGTTTGTAAATCTCTCATTATGCCATATTATCACCAAATCTTGGATTCAATAGTTTTCTTAACTTGTTTTCTTTCAGTTAGCACAGGTTTTGTATTTCGTTTTGGAATAGATATCCGTAGACCTCACTGATTTGAGCGAAAGTGTAAAAATCGTGTGGATAATTTTGGCAATGTTCACTCAAAAGCTGATTATTAAATTATTTGAAAGGGAAATACGTTTAAATGTGTAATTTTGAGGGTCAAAGATGAGTTTTAAGGGATAAAATTAGTGACTGCAGGGTGACTTTAATCTTTTTTTTTTTTTTTTGGAGAAATATCAGACTTTTTGAAGCCATTTTTGTTTGTCTTTAAACATTCTGAAATTTAGAATTTCGAAAATGCTGACATCAAGCCAAATTAAGTGATATTAAAATAACTGGAAGCATGTTGCTTTTGCAATGCCTTTTATCGTGAAAATTAACCATGTATGATTTTAATGCAGGATTGATGAGTTTTATTGCTGAATCTTGTTCAGATATGAATGCTGCTGGCTGCATTTATAGAGATGCATGTATATGGCCATTGAATCAGGTTCATTTGTTTCGTTTTAATTCTCTTAGGATCATATTGTTTTTGCAAAGTGCTACTTTGAGCGGGAACATGCTGTACCGCCGACACACTGATGCACATGTGTATACGTATATACACATATATATATATATATATATATATCAAGTTCATGAACACTACACCAGCTCAGTGCTGAGCGCTCTGCCTTATCACAGCGGGATGCATGCAGTGTCAGATAGACATTAGGGATGGATATAGAGGATGGGTCTGTTAAATAGGCCAGCAGAGCCGTGATATATGACATAACACTCAGCACATACTGTATAGGCTATGAGAAATGATATTGAGACCATAAAAAAAGTCATAAACAACATCTGTTGCATCTTAACACTGCACTTTCTGCTAGATGCATTCTGGGTGAGCATCTGTGTTGCCGATCAAGATGCTTTAAAAACATTGACACATGTTGATGGGTATGTGTAACCTTGAGGAAGACCTCTTGTTCTAGAGATCGTTAAGTTGCAACTGGATATTTTTTAACTGCATTGCAAGAGGAGACGTTAAAAATTTTTATATCAGCTGTCAACATTTAGGAGTTCGCTAGTATATGGGCCATTCTACTGCTGTCCCACAACCAGAAAGCACATTTAAATAGCATATAAGTATTCAATCTTAGATGTTTATTAAGATCCTTCTATTATCTATTGAAACCCACAATAATATTTAAAATATTAGTAAGCTTAATATATATAAAATCATAATTTATTGGGTAGTTTCAACTGGGAGGTGGCTGTCCCGAACCCTAACCCCTAAATTTCAACTTATGTAAATGATATTGAAATAATTTTTCATTCTTGTTTTTAAAAGTATCTTTTTGGTTCTTTTAAAAAGTGAAGTAAAAAAAAATATATATATATTTTCTTTGTAAATAATGGAACTTTATGTAAAAAAAAATGTGTCCTGAAGTTTTCATGTCACTACCGAAACAGTGTATTTTTTAGTATATTGGCCGAGACTGATTTTGAACTAAACCCATACATTTATGATCAGGTCTGATCTATATATATATATATATATGCATACCACTGTTCAG